CATCTAAGCAAATTTTAATGTAAAATAACCAGATATAATGGCAGTGCCTGTGTATGTGTGTGTGTTGGAGTTGGGGGAAGGATCAAATACAGAGAGGATAATTTGAGAAAATAAGTGAAAGTTACAGTATGCAAATCATGTTATATAGTACAGGTGATTCTATTTCTGTGTTATTCAGACTTTATAAAAAACAACTATACCCAGACACACACACACATCTCATCCAATCATACAAACATAGTTTTATAAAGACAAATAGGCCAAGGAATGATTTTGTAGAGAAAACAATTCAGTTCATTGATCATAACAACAAGAGGGTAAAGGGAAACCCACATATACTTTCTAATTGTTAACAAGATCTAAATTCATTAGATTAAACCCAATAGACGTGTGTCCTCTTGTTTCCTTACAAAGCCTGATATCAACCTATTATATTAAAAATTACCCATTTCAGTTATTAATTTTCCTACTTCCCACATCCCTAGAGAGAATTTCCCCATACTCTATGAGACAGAGAAATATTACATGTCAGTGATATCTCTACTTCTCTTTTTTTTTTTTTTTTTTTTTTTTTGGGACGGAGTTTCACTCTTGTTACCCAGGCTGGAGTGCAATGGCGCCATCTCGGCTCACCGCAACCTCGGCCTCCTGGGTTCAGGCAATTCTCCTGCCTCAGCCTCCTGAATCGCTGGGATTACAGGCACGCGCCACCATGCCCAGCTCATTTTTTTGTATTTTTAGTAGAGACGGGGTTTCACCATGTTGACCAGGATGGTCTCGATCTCTTAACCTCGTTATCCACCCGCCTTGGCCTCCCAAAGTGCTGGGATTACAGGCTTGAGCCATCGCACCCGGCTATACATCTACTTCTTTACCATTACACAGAAAACATGAATATATTCATTTCATTGTTATGTTTATGTCTTGGTTCTTAGCAAAATTTTGCAACATACAAAAATTTCTATATAGTTGTTGCATTTTTGTTTATCTTATTTTCAATTTTAGCCCATCTCCATATCTGTGCTACTTTAATATAAAAGATGATCTCTGTTTAGAAGATATTAAAGTCCTTAACATATTTTGTTTATGGTTGACATCAAATACATAGCATCAGAATTCTCTCTCAAGTCACACTGCTCAAAAATTTATATTATCAAAATTTAATTATGTGAGAAAGAACAGCATTATACTATATACCAGTAGATGTGGATTGATTTCCATGTAACTTTGTATATTATATATATATATATATATATATATATATATATATATTTGCTAGTTGCATTCAAAATTCGCTATTTTCAAAGTATGTAAATTTTCAAGCAGAGAATCGAACCCTATATATTTACTTTGAAAACACCAGTGAAGGATGTATCTTTACCATTTTCATCTTTCTATTTTATTTAAGCAACTGCTGTTCTACACTGATAAGTCAAGGAACTATGCAAAAAATGATAGAATCCCATGATTCATTGCCTAGAATTCCTCCTTTTCTCTGACTTCTCAAAAGAAGTGTCACTCACATCGTATATGTCACTTCTTTCTCTTTCCATGAGCTAGCATCATTTCAAGAAAGCTTAGACCGACTAAGTCAGTTGCTTGTTCATGGACTCATTATTAAATGCTGCATAACCCCCAAACAAGTCCTGCAGTAAGAGAAGATCTCTAGCTGCTGTAGAGATGGGAGGAATATGTTTCCATTTATTAAGAAAGTCTACAGCACAATTCAATATACCTGGGTTTCAAAAGTGATAAGAGAAATACCCCTTCTTCCCATAATAAACCCTCCCATGAACCTCTGCGTATGTAATGACAACTTTATGTCATGCCATACATACAATGTGTTCTGGAATTTAAAAATGTTTTTTCTATGTGGGTGTGGATAGTTAAAACATTCTTCTATCTTCAAGTCTGCTATCTCTATTTTTGTAAAAGAAAAGAAAAAAAAAAAGGTAACATTCTCTTTTTAGCTGCCTGCTGATCTCTTCTGAAAGCAAACTGCATGGAAAGCCACAGAGTCACTGACTTTCTATGCTGTCCATAGATATATGGAGATCATGTAAAGGAAGTTTCTTCCCTCAGGTTTGGCCTTGTTTTTTTATTTCTTATGATGCTACTTGCGTAACATATCATCTTTACATTTGCCTAAAATAGGTCATATTAATATTTCAAGCCATTGTTATTTTTTAAGGATTAAGCATTTTATATACAAGAATATTTTAAAGACAGTGAGTTTGAAAAGCATACGATATATTTCATTTTCCTGTGAAAATAAAGGCTTCATATTGATCTTAAATGTTTCTTTGCGTGGGGAGTAGCATAAAGCTACTTTTAAAAGTCTCCACACTGTAAAAACAGGGAAAACACTTCAAGAAAGCTCTATAACCTCTTTCAGTGGTCTGATGAGTATAACACAGGAAGAAAGAGCCCCCTAATGGTTCAGATATCTGTAAAAACAGAAGAGGTTGCACTTTCTCAATTCTTGTTTCACTATGGCTAAAATGAGTATTCAGCAAAGATACTTGACACTATGGAAGTGAATGGAGGGTTGAATAAAAGGTCAGTTAGAGCTCTCTCAAAAATGCAAACAAAGGTGAGAACCCCTAAGAGGAATTGGTGAAGTAAGCTGTTAGATTTCAGACTCAGAGTGATGCTTACATATGTGATTCCTAGCACGCTTGTCTTCCTTAATCATGTTCCGGAAGAGCACTGATCGGGAATGCAGGAGGCATATTCATTACACAGCTGGAAAGTGTGAAATATTCTTTAAATAAAACTTTTTTTCCAATCATTGACCATTTCCTGTTAATAATATGGGATTAAATTCCTTACGGTAGAAATTAAGGAATTTGTAAGAAAACAAGAAAGGAAATCAAATTAATATTGAGGATAAGCTAAGAAGAATGTCCTAGTGCAAGAAGCAGAGAGTGCTAAGAAATCACTTTTAAAGTATTTTTGAAGGAAGAATACGCTTATTCAGAGAAAAAAATTAAGAACTGATGTTACATCTATTTATGCTAAAATTTTAATGGTCTCATAAAAAATTGGAATTAAGTTTTTCTTAATTTCCTATAAATCAATATAGCCCATAAATAAGTACCAGGAGGAAACTGAACTGTATAAAGCAACTTGGATACTTAAGATTGTTGCAACAAAAATTATAAAATTTAAAGTAATTTTGTATATGAAACTTAAAAATGAGTAGAAGAATTTGTTAAAACCAAGTTGCATCCTTGAGTGAGATGTTATATTATTTAGCAATAGATAATAAAATGGAATGATTAAAATATAATTTTGAATACAATTATTAAAAGTATACTTAATATAAGCAAAACAATAACTAAACAAGGTTATAATAGATTTAAAACAAATTCCATGTGTGAATTTGGCATGATACTGCAGCTATATGCATAAATATAGGATCTATAGTACCGGTCACCATTCTCAGTTATTAGTTTGGCATTTGTTTCCCAAATATAATACTTAAAAGAAGTATATATAGTTTTTTTAAAAACAAATGACTCAATTTAAAAACAAAAACATTGCTATTATTTAACCCATATCTCCACTTCCTAAAACCAACTGTACTTTCCAAAATGTATATCAACAATTCAATTATTCACTTCTGATATAATTACATCAACAGAATACCAAGGTAGCTGTAATAACACTTGCATTATTAGGAAACATCTAAATATCATCTTGCATTCAGAAGACAAAATGGATGTCATTAAATTATGTTTCTCAAATATGCATTTTTATTTAACATATAAACAAGGCTGAATAAAACACACAAAACAACTATTTAGAATATGTAATAATTATAAATTCAGAAACACTGGCTACCAATAAGTTTGGCAATCGTGTTTTTGTTTGAAACATCGAACAACATATTAAAAACTTTTGGTGACTTATCACAGATGGCAGTTTGTTCTTTGATTAGAGGAGTGACTCAGGGAACTTCACTCAAAAGGACAGTCAGAGCAATTTTTGGAGTAAAATATCTCTTAATTAATCCAAAAGCAAATAAATTGACATAAAAATGTCACAAACCATTTGAGTTCCAGCAAGCATTAAATAAATCCTTTCTGTCACAGTGTTTTCTCCTTAGCAGTTGATATCTGTGACCTATAAAACTAAGGTCAATCAAATACATCAGGACTGCATTGCCCCAGCTCATTATTTCCAGTCCATCCCATCAATTTCCTCAGATAGCATTTTTAAAAAGTCTATTCTTCCCAGTAGAGGATTTAATATGTGCAAAGTTCCCATATATTCAGATGCTTAACCCATACATAGCATTCCTGACACTCAAAACATTAACTGATGCTACCTCAGGTAAGCAATGAACTCTAAAATAGCTAAACATCTCCAGAGTCATATTTCTTTGCCTTAGCTCAGTACTTTCTTATGAACAAATGCTGACCATCCGTAGCCACAATAAGAGGGCAGTCTAATGTCACATCATTTAAGAAATATTCTGTTTGTATTGAAGAGTTAAAACTACAATCAAAAAACAGATTCAGAAAAAATAACCACTAACAATTACTGAAAAGCATATGATAGCATCTATGTTTGCATAAAATATAATAATTGATAGTTAACGCAGTAATGATCCTTTCTTGATATGCTATTATTTACCAAAGTTGTTTAACAGCTAAAAACAATATTTATGAAAATATTGTAAGGTTGTCACAAAAAATGTACTTTGTAATATGAACTTGGCTTATATTTCTTCTTTACATGGAGCATCTGCTACAGAAACTTATGATATAGTGCTTTTATTTTTGAAAAAAATCTGTACCTGGAGCTTTTTCAAAAGGCAAATATATTAATATAAACACAGTATGCATTTCCACATTTCTAAATCCACACACTTGTGTATAGAATTTACTTAAATGCATCACTGCAAACTCAGTTTTAAAAACATGCAAAGCTATGATGTATTTTGCTGTTAATGATTAAAAAGGAATGGAGAGATAAAAATTTAATTTCCTTACCTGGAGCATGAAACTGTTCCTGTTCAATGCTGGAACAAAGTGGAACTGGAAGAGGGACTTGATTTTTGTTTCCTTTTCAAAATCCGCTTTAATGATGCAGGAGTAAGATGAGCTATTCCAAGGTGAAGTCTGTTATTTCCTGCTGGAGCTCACAGCTGACATCCTCTTGTAAAAAGAAAGGCACCTCAGTAAGTTGTTCACTGAGGGAGCTACAGAGCAAGATTATCGGGCACAAGCAGTCACATAGTGATTCTATGGAACGTGCGCTGGCTTCCTCCCCACCTTGCGTTCCTCTCTCTCTCTCTCTCTCCCTCTCTCTCTCTCCCTCTCTTTCTCTCTCTTTCCTTTTCACCCTGACGCTCGCTCAGCTCGGAGTCTCAGCTCCTGCTGCTGCTGTATAATCAATCTAGCCTGTCTGAAGCTAATAGTCCCCTATTTAACCAGCCAATCAATAGCAAGGATTCCACTGCTAGTCCCAAGAGTCTTTTCCAAGAATGTTACAAACAATAAGAGTTTTGCCAGCAGTTTAGCCAAATATTTTTCATTATTTTATCTCCCTTAGAGATAGGACTTGAGAGGGCAGAGGCTTAAAGCAAGCTTAGTGTTATTGCTGATTTTTACGTTTTAAAAATTTACCCCTTCTTAACCAGCTGATAACTTATAATTATACGTCCTCACCTGCTATCTATTATCTTATAAAAATTGCTGCAGAGTAGCCATGTGTGATAGGATCTTTCTCATTCAAACATGTAGGAATATATTCAGTAAAAAATTATATATGCTGACAAATTTTTTTTGCTATAAACAATGCCTCCAGTAGCTGGTATGACTAGGATTAATTAAAGAACATCTCATTATAATGATTTATTTTAAAAGTTATCTATTTTATTTTAGAAACATCATGGTAAATAATTTTGTTCCTCCTAAGGAACAAGAGGTGATGTTTGTAGATATTTTTGAACCAGGGTCTGAGTTAGGTTTCAATGTATAAACATTTTTTTCAATTTTAAAGCATTAATCTACAAAAGGATCCTTCTGAATGTATCAAATAGAGCATTTACACCTGATTCATCCCTGCAAGGTTAAGAAGATTTTCTTCTTAAAGTGAAACATTCATTGCTCAACTGCTGTGACTGACCGTAATAAAGAAACACAAAGCAAACTATTGAAGACCAGGGTGCTTTCTCATTTCCCACAGGCTTGGGGTGTGTGGGGGGAGAGCAAAAAAGCAAAAGAAAAAAGAAAAGAGCATATGGGGACACATTAGCCAAACCCTAGATATGTGGTCTTTCTCAGTTTCTAATAAGGATGTGGTTGCTTATCTCAATTTCACAGTGCTTGGCCAAGTACCCTTTTAGTTACATTTTCTTTGGAATACTGCATTTCTGCATTCATTAAAGGAAACTGTATAAGAATCTTTAACTGCTTTAATTCCCAGTTGGCATTAAATTCCAGGCAGTAGTCATTGTCTCTCCAACCTGCAGCATCATGCAATACAAATAAAAATTTATAACATGTGCTAAAGCATCTTGTAAATGAAGACTGAAAAGGCCATAAGGTATGTACGATCATGAAGTTACACTCAATTAAAGTCCAAATTGGGAAGTGTTGTAACACCTATCAGAGACACACTTCTTTGATTTAATTGACTCAGTTCAGCAAATATATATTGAGCAACTCTTTGCATCAGACAGTCATATATTCTCAGTTATAGAAAAGTAATTAAAGGAGAGAACAGGTTACTTTGTTTTTCGTATTTTCCATGTAGTGTAGTTTGGGTAGTCAGTCACCCAGGAGTTTGCAATCTGGTAGCTAGATAAGGAGTTCTCAAGTAAGCAACACACAAGAGAGAATAATTTACCTGCTTTCTTCAATAGCAGTTCAAAGAGCAACAAGTAGTCAAGATAAATCACGCCTCCTCTGAAACAACAGAAAGACCCTGTAAAAAAACATAGCCTTGCAGTGATTCTTATCAAAGAGAATAAAAAGTAACTTACAGGGAGAAGAAGACGGCAGTGGTGAGGGGAGGAACAACAGAAGCAAAAGTAAAATGTTAAAGGAGATGGGTGATGGGAAAGGGGTGTTGGAGAAACAGCAAAGATGGGATGTGTGGCCGGAACTTGTAAAGCCTATAAAAGTAAACGACGAAAAGGGAAATCCTCATAATATGTAAGACTTTGGATGCCAGGTTGACAGTTATTGGGTAGTTGAGAGCATTTCAGTTTTACGTTTTTAAACAGAAATGTACTAAACTTGTCAGTATGCTTTGGGAATCTCTATATAACAAAATCGTGTCACTTTAGTACTAGAATGGGACCCCACTGAAAGTCAACAATCACTAGGGAGAAATTTGCCAAGGTCTCCCTTAGGAGTAATTATGGGTAGAACCAGTGTGCAGATGTTAGCAATTAGCAGAACGAATTAATATTAAAAAACATTCTGAAAGGAGGTCTCTGCATGACTTTGCAACCTAATAAGAAGAGGTGTAGCTTAGGAAGGCTTTACATTTTCAACCCAGGTGGACGACTGAAAAAAATAAGTGAATGATAAATAGCGTGTTTACTAACATTCCATCTCAGTTTTTTTCTGTCATAATATTTATCTCTAGTTAAATTTGCTTTGTAGTTGTTCTTATGTGTATTTTCCACTACACTGTAAGCTTCACGATGGAAAAGAACTGGTTTTGTACAACACTTACCCCTCGGCATTTTCAGGAATTGTACCTGGCATATATTAGTTGTTCAATAAATATGTGTTCAGTGGAAAACAATAAAATAATTCCCATGTTTGGAATAATAGAATAACCACCACATGACAAGTCCTCAGCTAAGAATTCTCCAAAAATTGTTTTATTTAACATGCAAAACTCTATAAAATGAATATCATTCCATTTTACACATAAAGTGAAATTAAGCAAGATGATTAGCTTGTCTAATGACACATAATCAATAAGTGTCTATTGAATTCCAAAGCCCATACTCTTTATAATGTTGAGTCTTCAGGAACCAGCAGATAATATAACAGAAACTAATAATCTGGATATTAATTTGTGGAACATATAAGTGAGTAGGTGGAAAGAACAAAAATAAATCAAATTAAAACTAAAGGTTGGGATTCTGGGAAGATGGCATAGTAGGATGTATCAAAAATCTATCTCTGCTCTGTAGACAAAAATTGCACTGGCAGAATCTGACTAATGTAACTATTTTAGAACTCTAGAGTCTATTGAAGGCTTACAATTTCCAGTGACAACTTAGATGGTTAATTTGTAGTTAATTTGGTCCATTTAAGCTCTTAGCACAGTAAAAGTTAGCATCCCACTCTTAAGCCCTATGGCAGGCAGCTGTGCATGTATTTCTAGAATAGATTGCATATAGTGCGTAGTGGCCAAGGTTAGAAAAAAATGACCCTGCCTTCCAATATTGGAGATCTGTGCTATGCTTACTGATTGCTAATCACAGAAGAGCACAAGAGAGATAGTAGCCATTGTTGCCACAGCTTCCCTCAATGTTGCAAGCCCCTCCCTCTCTAAGTAATGTGTCTTTCAGGAGATTTATAGGGCTGGGACCCTTTTCCTTCTTCCCTTTTTTTCTATTTTCTATTTAGGATCTAGACAGTGAAGATTAGGGTATTAGGATAAAATTAGAAAGTTACCAAGCATGCCCAGGTATAGAAGTAGGCTCAGAAAATACTTGAGAAGACCTTATGGTTTACACAATGGGATGATCTTTGTAACAATCAAACAAATCCAAAGGGAAAAAACGAAAACCAAAAACAAAACAGAAAACAGCCAACTATCGGGGAAGGGGATGATTGATTTCCTGAGTTACTACATTTTTAGATTCAAATGTTTAGTTGTAAACAAGAAATCTCAAGGCATACAAAGGAATAGGAAAATATGGTCTCAAAGGTAAACAAAACAAAACAAAAATAAAAACTGTCCCTGAGAAAGAATTGAAGGCAGATCTGCTAGGCAAAAATATTAAAACAACTATCTTAAAGATGCTCAAGGAACTAAAAGAAGGTGTGGACAAAGTAAAGAAGATAATGCAATATTTGATGAAAATATCAATAATGAGATAGAAAACCTAAAAATAAACCAAAAACAAATATTAGAGTCAAAAGTATAATCACAAAAATGAAAACTTTAAAAGAGGGGTTAAAAGTCAGATTTGAATAGGTGGAATAAAGAATCAGAGAACTGGAAGTTAGGATAATAAAATTTATTGAGTCTGAAAAAACAGAAAAATTGAAGAAAAGTGAACAGAGCATAAGGGACCTATGAGACACAATGAGGTAGACCAACATATGCACTGTCAAAATGTTAAGGAGAAGACAGGGAGAAAGAGACAGAGAATATTGAAATAAATAATGACTGAAAATTTAACAAATTTTATGAAAAACATGAATATAAATGTATAGGAAGCTCAGTGAATTTTGAGTAGGATGATCTCAAATAAGATGACACATCGTGATGATGAGACGACTCATAACAAGACATCACAGTCAAACTGTTAAATGCCAAAAATAAAAACAGAATTTTGAAAGCATCAAGAGAAAAGCAAAGTCATATACAATGAAGTCTCAATAAGATTATTAGCAGATTTCTCATAAGAAGCTTAGAAGGCTGGAATGCAGTGGGATGATATATGCAAAGTGCTAAAAGAAAAAGAAAAAAAAAACAAACCTGTCCACCAAGAATCCTATGTCTAGGAAAATTGTTCTTCAAAGGGAGAAATAAATTAAGACATTTTCAGTTAAACAAAAGCTTAAGGGAGTTTGCTTTTATTATTATTTTTAAACACTTGACTTTCCTTCAAGGAATGCTAGAAGGAGTCATGCAGTTTGAAATAAAAGAACAGCAGACAGTTATTCATTGCCATATGGAAAAAAAGAAATCTCAGTCAAGGTAAATATTTGGACAATTAAAAAATGTGTATTATTTTACAGGAATGTATAACTCTACCTGTTCATTTCTAAATGATTATTGTAACTTTGGTTTATAACTTCAAGTTTTGTTTTCTACATATTGAAGAGATTAATGCACCACAAAGTTATTAGTTTACGTTTTGGGGGTACACAATGTATAAAGAAGAAATTTTGCAACATCAAAAACCCAAGGGGGTGGGATAGACCTGTTGCAAGAACAATTACTGTCTGCTCTTGAAGCTAAGCTTATGTCGGTTCAAGTTACTCTTGTATCTTTAGGATGTTATTGTCCCCATGGTAACCACAAAGATTGTAGCTATAGAATTATTAAAAAGAAAATGAAAATGGAGTTTAATGTTTTGTTACAAAAAAATCAGCTAAGAGCAAAAGAAGGCAGCAACACAGAAAATGTGCAACAAAAAGTCATAAGGCAGACAGAATGCAAGCAGAAAAATTACAGAAGTCAGTCTCTTATCCTCAGTA